AAAGTTATGCGGTGAAAGACTTATTTGTGCAAAATAATCTTCATTTTCTGCTTATAGAAATATAAATTTAATCAAAAAATTAGAAAATTTTATGTATTTTGAAAATAAAGACATGCAAAATGTAACATCTGTGATGCACTGACACTTCTTCTCAAAGAGATATGCAATATCCGACATGTTTCCAACACGACACACATCCGACACGTGTAGACACATTGAGGATGTGTGCAATTAAAAAGAATAATAAAAATAAATTGGACATGAGTGTCTTACACACGTGTCTTAATTTTTTTTTTTTTAAATATAATTTTTTATTCTTCAAAATTTTATTTATTAAAAAATAAAAATTAAATTTCTAATTTTCTCTCCATAGCCTCAAATCAATTGTCCGTACTCAATATCATATTACCCAAATATTCTCATTTTCATTTCTCTCTAGCGGGTTATGACTAATGTTTCATAACGACGCTTGATATCATCTCTCTGATGCTGTCATAACATCAATGTTTTAAGGCCATCACAAACATTGAAGTCTGATGCTATTTTGACTTTAAGGCTCGATGCCAACAATTTCTACACCCACAATCAAGCCCCTACACCGTCTTGACATCTCATCTTTATTCAACGTATTCTCAACGTTACACATGTGGCCCGACGACCTGACCCGATCCACTAGTTCAAAGGTGAAAACCTTGATGACCCAACCTGATCTACTGGTCCAAAGGTGAAAAACCTGGTCCATGAAAATTTTAAAATATGTGCAAACCAAAAGTTGCGGCATTTGAACGTTTCATCTTCTAGTATTGAAAATTTTGGTTCATTTCCGCTCTTAGTTCAGGCAGGTGCTCTTCATCTTCGCACAATGATCAAGTCTTCTAGCTGAGAAATTAATGTATGGGCATGGAACATTTCACTGTCTTTCGGCAAACCAAAAGTGTCAACGTTCAAATTTTAGAATTTATATCGTCTTCCTATCCACTCTTCTTCTTCCAGGCAAGAGTTAAAGTCAAATTTATCTCCATAGTAGCTCTACATCATTGGGTATGTTGAAATGTCAAAGCTATTTCTTATGTGAATAGTTTATGAGTTGTTAGGGTATAGGGTTTATGTAAAATTTATGTCAAATGCGATTTTTTTTTCTTAATAGAAATTGGGTATTGCTCGGTATTGATGTGTATTACTATGATACAAGCTTATGGCAACCAGACATTTTAAAAACTATTTAAGCTTTTTCACAACTGTGTATTTGAGAAATTTTATAGGAAATGCTATATTTTTCTTTCTTAAGTCACTGTGTATTATTGTATATTGCTATATATTTCTATTATACAAGCTTATGGCAACTAGATATTATTGTATTTGTTGTTTAAAAATCATTTTAAGTTTTTTCAGAACTATGTATTTGAGAAATTTCATGAGAAATGCTATTATTTCTTTGTCAAGTTACTAGATATTGCTGTGTGCTGCTGAGTATTATTGCATATTGATATGTATTTACATGATATACAAGCTTATGCTAACCAAACATTGTTGTATCTGTCCATTTGAAAACCTTTTTTTAAGCTTTTTTCTCAGTTGTGTACTTGATATTTGAAAACTTTCTTAAGAAATGTTATTTCTCTCTTAAATAATTATGTATTGATATGTATTGTTATGTTTTTAGTTGTATACTATTGTATATTTTGTTGTGTATTCAGATGCGTTTTTAGATGTGTATTATTGTGTATTCAATTATGTACTGCTCTATATTAAGTTGTATATTCAGCTGTATATTTATGTGTATTGCATTGTATTTTGTTGTATATTATTGTGTATTAATGTCTATTTAGCTCTGTATTATTGTGTATTAAGCTGTGTGTTGCTGTGTATTTAGTTGTCTATCGTTGTACATTGCTGTATATTTTGATGTGTTTTGTTGTCTATTTAGCTGTGTATTGATGTGTATTGTCATGATGCAAGCTTATGGCAACCAGACATTGTTGTATTTCTTCATTTGAAAACTTTGTAAACTTTTTCACATCTGTAATTTTGAGAAATTTATGAGAATTGCTATTATTTCTCTATTAAATCACTAGATATTGATGTGTGATGCTGAGTATTTTGCAAATGTCTGTTCCAAAGATCACTTATCCTTCCAGATATCAACCTTTAGAGTTATCTGTGACTCTTTGATCAACCTTTTGTCAAGTATTTCAAAGACAAATTAAAGTAATTACACTCATCAATTCCTTGAGATCCCTGCGTTTCAGTAGAATATTCCCCTCTTATACATGTTGTTATCATCATGGAATATGTCAAAGCAATGCTTCATCATGAAAGGGCGTGAGCTAGCATTCATTGTTGATGAGATGGTTATGATTACAAGATTGTCAAACCGAGGAGTTGTATTCAAGTTGAAAAGTGAGACAGTGTTTGGAAAATTCCCGATCAAGATTAAACACGAGATGACCTCACTAAATTAAACCCACTTGACCTTGTTCTAAATAAATTTATAATATTCATGTTGTCCAATTTTTTCTTTCCATTTCATAACTATAGAATTCCAGGAAGGATCATTTCTGCTGCACGAAATCTAAATGAGTTCTCATCTTATAACTAGACAGCGACCATTTGGGATTTCTTGGTTGGTCAGTTTGATGTGACTACTAGAAAGTTTATGAAATCCAAACCACTAGGATATATAAATGGATTTGTATATTTGCTATTTGTGAGTATAAACAACATATACGATTCTCTATGATTATCAATTCATTTGGAATTTCTTTGTTAATGTTCAAGTTGATTATATACATTTGATTTTTGGAGCACACAGTAGTCCAAGCCCCTATGCATATGAACGCAAGACTCCATTTTCTTCGCTGGGGCAATCACATCTTTTATAACGATATAGAGGTGTCTGAATTATTTACTGATCTTTAGGATGGACAAGTAGATATGCTTCCCCACACATCATACTTAGATAGGTAATTTGATTTGTATGTCAGCTTATTGTGACAATCACAATTGTACAAATTTTTCATTCCCTCCGAAGAGTTACTTAGGAAGAAACAACCTACTACACAATTATCCCCCTCATTGTCCTGAGAAAGTATAATCTCCACCTTCCATCTCTCTTCAAACCTCCAGCCATCCCCCTCATTCTCTTGAGAAAGTTCACTTTCCACCTTCCATTTCCCTTAAACCCTCTAGCCATCCCCCTCATTCTCCTGAGAAAGTACACTCTCTACCTTCCATCTCCTTTCAACCCCTAATTATTCCCCTCGTTCTGCCTATAAAGTCCACCCCTTTAGCATCACAAAAACCTTTAAGGCGAATGTGTGGAGCTTCCAGCAAAGCATCATAGAAATATGTGCAATGTGCAATTCTATGCTAGAGGGGATGGAGAAGATCGGATCTAGCAATACACAGTAATACACATTTGAATAAACAACAACAAAACTCAACACAATATTTATTAACAAAAAATAAACACATTCACAACATAATTTTCCTATGTACAATTATAAGCTTGTATATAAGATTGTACACAACAAATACATAGTAAAATACGGTTTGTATTAGGGAAAAAATATATCTAATGTAATTTCACAAATACAGATAATTTTAAGAATACACCCTAAACCCTAAAAAATTATAGATTTACATTAAAATCATCCTTACATAACAAAATCATGCTTCTTAATGACATTCAATACATAAATAATTAAAGAATGCACTGTAAACCCTAAAAAACTTTATATTCATAGGAAACACATTAAAAGTTGGGAAGACTTTAAAATGTACTGATAATAACCCTAATTTTTGTCCTATGGTTAACTGCAGTAGCTCTTTCTATACATTTGGCATGTCGTATTTCATCCCCTTGGAGAATGAAATATCCTCCAAACCAGTTTACATCTTCGCCTATTTCTCATCTTTCTTTCTCATAAGGTAAAATGTAATATTTCGCCTGCCAAAATCCTAAATTCTTGGTAGTTTTCTCGGGTTTCTTTTTTCTTTTTAAAGGTAAAAAAAATATCTTGAATTATTGGGTCTCGGGTAGTAAGAAAAAATAATATAAATATTAAATATCAATGTGTTAGCATTTTATTAGAATCCGGACGAAGAACGATGTTTGGACTCTGCACAGAATAATTTCTCCAAAATAAAGCCCGTTTGATATGAATGTAACTTTTTCCTAAAAATAATCATGATTTTTTTAATTAATGATTATTCTAAATAAAAAATATTAAATATGATGATATAAATTATGCATCAAAATTAACTTAAAAATTATTAAATTTATTTTGAGATTAATGAATTACAAACTGTTTATAGATAATTCTAATTTCAACCATTTGCCTTTGGTTATTTCAACAATTCAAATACTCAGTTCCATTGTCCTTGAAGATTAATACATGCAGCATACTTTATTGGAAGGATTGGTGAGACTCATTTAATATCTAGAACTAGTGCCCTCTAGGGATAGAAACAAATCAAACCGAGTTAATGCTTATTCATGCTCAATTCAAACTCAATTTAAGCCTTTTATTGGTCTTCAAATTTGATTTGTTTAAAATAATAAAGGTTCATATTTAATTTGTCACTATAGAAAAATAGTTCATTACCAACGATTTTTTAAATTTCTGACGGTTTAAAAACCACTTGAATAAACCGCATAGGAAATGGAAACCGACGGCATATTTCCGATAGTAATATTTTTCGGCAGTTTTCCAGAGGCTACAACAGCCATAAATTAATGGACCCAAAACTGCACGAAAACCGTAGGAAGATTCCGACACAAATAGCGCCAGCGACCGCGAGTATTCCCGGTGGTTTAGTGTTTATTACCGGTGGTTTAACCACCGGTTAATAGAGGCGGTCAAACCGCCAGTATTTAATGAATTTCCTGTAATGTGTGTTTGATTTATGCTCAGTTTCTTAGCAGCCTCAAAGAAAATAGAAGCTAACGATTCAATGATAAACAGATTAGCCTAAATACAAATACGACAACAAGAACATAAGCTGCAAGGAGAAAACAAAAGCTTAAAATAAGATACAGAAAGTGCTACAATAGCAACAGACTTACAAAGGGTATCGTATGTGATTAATAATTGGAAAGATATCTCTTGGCATAATGGAACTCAAAACCTTTTCGATGGCACAGACAGACCTGAATCACGAAAAAGAAATAAAAATCCAATAAAAAAAAATACTTGAATGTTTATTTGCGCCTTCTCGGTTGACCGATGTCTGGATTTCCTTTTCTCATCATGGCTACAAACTCATCATAGTTGATTCTTCCATCCTGTCCAGAGAGTAGCAGTTCAATGATACAACGGGAAAGCTGGTAAAGAAAGACTGTCATAAATGGCAAATTATTATGTGCGGATGCCGGATAGAGAGAATCATCCGGATTTCTCTGTCTATAGTAAAAGCACAGTCAAAGCGTAATTACTGTAGCAGCTGCGCTTTTACTGTAGACAGAGAGAAATCCGAATGATTCTCTTTGTTCGATGTCCGCACCTAGTAATTTCTCGTCATACAGAGTTACGGTTACCGATGATTCTTCCATTCATTTGGGAAAGTTTTTAGTTCTTATTTTTTGGTGTAGTTTCTACTATTTTAACAATTTGGAATAGGTGCATTGAATCTAGATAGTTCTTCAGTCAGATTATTTACTATTTACCCTATCATCCTACAGAAAAACAATCAAAGCTCAGTTCAAAAGTTCAAAAGTATGGATATATATGATAAGATAAAGACAAAAAAGCTTACATGATCAGTGTCAACTTCTGCTAAAATTTCTTTTATTGTTTTCGCATCACCCATATTGTACTTTGTCAGAGCTTGCTCCAGCTCCTCCACAGTGATGTATCTGTGCAAATGGCAGAAGAATGATTACTGAAGAATAAAGAGAGGTTCTTCTGTGCAAATCTAGTAAAATTTTCTCTAGAGATGCATACCCACTCCGATCCTCGTCAAAATATTCAAATGCCTTGTACAAATGGTCTTCTTTTTCCATCCGGTTCATGTGCATTGTAGCTGTAATGAATTCAATATAGTCGATAGTCCCATTCCCATCGACATCTGCCTGTGAAATGAATCAATGTATGAAATAGACAGATACAGATACTTATAAACTGGCTAAAAACACATTACACAACATACAGAACGAGAGTGCATGGCAGTCGAGGGGTTGCCAGCCTACTCTGGGTTTTCTTCGAGAGAAGAGAAGGGTAAAAGAAAAAGGTTAAATGATCTATACCGTAAATATTCATAGAAAAGAAAGGAAATGAAATATTTCAAAAAGAGGGAAAAAACCTCTTTTATAAACATAAATTGCGTATATGAAAATTGTTTAAATAACTAGGTTCCTAATCATTCTTATCCTTGAGGGATTTATGTGATAAACAATGAAGAAAATTGTAAACGAATTCTCATAGTTCTCTTTGTGAAAAAAACACATCCAATAGAGAATATTAGCCTTTAATTTTAAAAGAATCACATTCTATCATCTCTAGATATATCTAATTTTTTATTCCCTTTTAAATAAATTTTCTATTTTGACTCCTAGATAATTTCCGATTTTATAAACACAATTGAGTAGAGAAATAATTTTATATTTTATCCAAAATTGATCCTAACTTTATTGGTAGCCAACCTTCCAATGTTATGACATAAGTCTACAATGAGAGGCTAAGATAAATAGGAAGGGTATAGGAAGTACTTGAAGAGGATTCCTAGATGTTATTAATCAAAATAAGGATACCTCAGCAGATTTTTCTCCCCGTAGATACCTCCTCTTCAATTTGGTTTCCCCTCTAATGTCCACATCAATTCAATTGTGATTTATGAATTTTCCTTTGTTAGAAAACAATTTGGCTGTTTCTGATCTCTAATTTTAGTATGCTATTATGGCAATCTTTTTCAATGTACATGCCACAAGATTTGCTCCCACCATGATTACAAGAATATCCCCTTATAAAAGATCTCCCCACAACAAAAAGTCCTTCACCTAGCTTTTGAACTCTTCCAACTCAAGCCTGGTGCTTTTAACTTCTTGATATTTATACCATACAATATGGTATTATGAAAATATATGTGACAGAGATAAATAATATAATAGTAATAAAGCTTTATCATCATCATCAACAATCATATCAATATTTCTTAAATCTCAAAAAACAGAGCTAAACTCCATCAGATGTGATTTAATAATAGTATATTCTTGTGTACAAAGAAAATGGTGCCAACTTCTGCAAAAGCTTATTAGAGAAATTTTTAGTCACATAAAAGACAACTGTTTGAGTGACAAACCCTAAATAACTTTTTCCTTCAAGGCCTCCATCAAGATCTCATCCTTCAAATAGTAGAATCGTCCAGAGAGCCTTTCATCCATCTTTGCATTATCTTCTAAACTCATAGTTTCAAAGTAAATTAGTACACACCATGTACACCTTCACGAGTTCCTACCAAATCTGAATACTACGCATATTAGTTCTCCGAAGCACAAAACTCATTAAGCTATAAAACATCTTAATCTCAAACTCCATTACCAATCCTATTCTTTATAAACCTTTGCTCAAATACTAATTGTAGGAAAAACATCTAATTTTTATACGGAAGAGTTAACCTTGGGCAAGTATGATGAATCTCAAAGAGATCAACCACTTACAGATACTCTATGATTAATGTCGTTTAATAAATATTTGTCAGCATCCATTATAGATAAGAGAGATTTGATCCATTGAACATAAGTAATAGACGATGCACAATTTCAGCAATCCAAATGCACCCAACTCTCAAAACAATAAAGAAGTAATAAATCTTTTAGAGCTAATAAGGTAGTCAATAACTAAAAAGAGACAAATAAAGTAAAAGGACTAAACTTGACTATAAATTCCCAACTTCAAGAGTCCTCAAAGGGTTGCATTCAGCTCAAAATCTATGATGCACCGTCACGGCACTTAGAGAGGGTATGCAGTGTCGGACACATGTGTCGGACACGGACACGCGTCAGACACGGCATGGACACGTGTCCGACACGGCATGGGAGTGTCGCAATTAAAAAATTAAAATTAAAACCGGTCACGCGTGTCCGGTTATTAAATGAGGTATTGCTAGGTACATGCTCGGTACCGCTCAGTACATGCTCGGTACCGCTCAATACATGCTCGGTATTGCTCAGTACATGCTCGGTATTGCTCAGTATAAGCTCGGTACCGCTCAGTACATGCTCGATGCCGCTCAGTACATGCTCGGTATTGCTTAGTACATGCTCTGTATTGCTCAGTATATGCTCGGTACCGCTCAGTACATGCTCGGTACCGCTCAGTACATGATCGGTACCGCTCAGTACATGCTCGGTACCGCTCAGTATATGCTCGGTACCGCTCAGTACATGCTAGGTACCGCTCAGTACATGCTCGGTACTGCTCAATATATGCTCGGTACCGCTTGGTACATGTTTACGAACTTTAAAAACAAGCAGAACTTCAAAATTACTCTTACAACAAAATTTTGTTCCGGGGGCGCCCCCTTGGACCCCCGGCAGACTGGTATATTGTTGTATTCATGTTGTCTTATTATTGGGATATTTTGATTTCACTTTATATCAATTTAATTTGGTGTATTCATATCTATGATTGGTATGTTAGAAAAATGAGCTCTGCTACTGGCGGGGGTGGATTAGGTGAAGTTTCAAAAGAGCCATCTGTCCACACCGTGTCCGTGTCCTATAAAATTATTATATATTATATTAAAAAAATATTATGTCGTGTCACGCCGCACCCGTGTCCTATATTTTTAAAAATTGCCGTGTCCCATGTCCGTGTCGTGTCCGTGTCGCTGTGTCCGTGTCGTGCATCATAGCTCAAAATTTAACACATAACCATACTTCGGTTCATCAAGATAATAAACCAACGTCATGAAATGAATTTTCTTTTAAGTTTTCTCTTTCTCTATCATTTTTCTCTCTCCTATTAATAATATTCTCCACAACCGCTTATCTGTTTCTGATTTTCACAATTAAGCTGCAAAGCCCGATAAAGTCACGCATAAAGTCATATAATCCTTCAAGCTGTGAAGGGACTTTTATACTAAAGCAGCTGCACAATCCTCTAGAAACCAAGAAGGCATCGATCAAGTAAGAAATCTCATGAAAAGCAAAAAAGCTACAATGCCTTAACTCATGCACACAAAAAAAGGAATCTCCATCCCGTGAGAAAGCGTTAACTACAAGACTTGATTAGCATAAAGAAATATTCTTTCCATATCTCAACATATTAATCGTGCATAAACGAAGATTTAGTAGATCCTATGCAATGCTCAACAGATCCTGTCCAATGTATGTGCAGTTGTGCACAACAAAATAAAATTATTTGTCACTTCTGTAACACCTTGCTGCCTCCAAATGTTGTCTTGTTTCCACCAACTATTGAGTATAGGTTGCATTGCTGGAGGTTTCTCAAAAGGGTCAGAACAATAAAGATAAATACAAGCCATCAAGTGTTTTTCAATTTTGTCTTCTTCATCACTCTCAACCGAGTAGTTTAGGAATAAAAAACAATCATTAGAATGGCTAATTTGATAATAAATGTTTTTACTGCATAATTTAAGAAAATATGATCATTTCATTGGAGTGAAATGGTAATAACTTTCTAGTTTTAGATTATTCTTGCTGCATTCACACAACCATCTCCATAACAAATAAGTGATAACCAATGCAAGAGTCACCCAAATACAACGCCAAAAAATGGTTGATATATGCAGTCCTTGCACTACATAATAGAGATGCTGTTTCTATGATTCAAACAGGTAACATATCTCCAGGTCACAAAGGAAGCCACATAAACATTGCTGCTATGCCTTCTCTCCATAATAGAAAAATAAAAAATTTATGTCCAAATAGCAAAACGTGAAGAGTATTGAAATGATTCCAACAATCAAAAGTACAGATTTGTATGAGAATTTTAAACTATGAGACAGAAATATGCTAGACTTTACTGTGCATGGAGGAGAAATAAGAGAGCATACCGCTTCCATTAGCTGTTTAACTTCCGATTCAGAGAGCTTGCTACCAAGTTTGGGTAGACCAGCTTTCAGTTCTTCATAAGTTATTGTACCACTATTGTCAGTATCCATAGATTTGAACATTTCCTTCAAACCCCTAATTTCTTCTTCAGACAAATTTTCTGCAATGACCTAGTAATAGGTAATAAAGTTTTACATTATGCATAAAAATAACAATCCATCTAAAAAAAATATGTACGGAGAACATGCAAATATGCCAAAAACCTTCAGAGCAACTTTTTTGAGTTTGTTCATAGCTCTGAACTGTTTCATTCTAGTTAACACTGTTATGTCAATCGGTTTATCAGATGCCTCTCCATCAACTCTAATCCATGGATGATCTGCAATCATGTTGTAACTGTCAAACCAAGAAGGTCAAAGATTTAAAAGTGAAAGAAAAACTGACAAGGAAAACAACACAGTATTCAATGATTTACATCCATTTGGCAGGTAAACAATCTTCCCAAAACTTCACACCAAAATATCAGAATCTCATTTGCTCTGAATAAACTAAGAAATAGAGACATTATTTGTAGCTAGCATTATGTGAAAAAAAAAAAAATAATCGGCATGCAAAAGACAGTAATAATAAAATTGTAATAAAAGCTTCATATAACCGGGGATTCAAATATATTGAAATACATCTTATGTAGCGGTTAGCTTAAATATCATGTTTTACTATATTCAAATATTAATGTACATATACTTAATTATAGCTCGGAAGACTAAATTAAATGTTCAATAAGAGTAAATACAACTTACTCAGAACTTCAACTGCAGTTAGCCGATCTTTTGGATCTGGCCTTAGCATTTTCTTCACTAGTTCTTTTGCACTACTAGATATGGAAGGCCAAGGATCAGAAGAGAAATCAAGATGCCCACGTAAAATTTCATCAAATATGGCCTGCTCACTCTCTGCAAATAGGGAAAAAAAACTTTTCCAAATTGAGAAATACAAATTCCCGACACTGCTTAATTTGGTTAGTTTTAATGCATACTAACCTCCCCAAAATGGAGGAACACCAGAAAGAAGGATGTAGAGTATCACTCCAGCACTCCAGATGTCAATCTCTAGTCCGTAATGCCGTTGCAATACTTCAGGAGCTACATAGTAAGCACTTCCAACAAGGTCCTTAAACTTTTCTCCTGCATGGTCACGAAGATTTCGATAACTTTGAGGAAAATAAAAAATGATGGAAAATATTCAAACTCACGAGAAAAGAAACATATGAAATGCATGTTAAGTAGCAGTAAAAGAATTCAATAAATGTTCCTTTCTCCATGTAAATCTTTGTTGATTGAGATATGATCTGCAAGTCTTTTGCACTTTTTTTTATTCTCAATAGAATTATGAATGCTCCATTTAAAGGATGTTGAAGCTGACAAAAAATAATAACTAAACTATATCTAGCATCTGTACGGAGCTGGTCATGTTAGATATTTTACCGTTGATGCTGCCTATCACAAATTTGTCTAATTGAAACAAAATGACTACAACTGTATCTTACAAGAGAAGCCCTTTAAAAGATGAATTTAACAGGTTAACAAAGAAAAGGTGAAAAGTTGGAATGTATATTTCTCATGAAACCAGACTTGTTAGTCCTAGAGTGACCCTCTAACCCACCATGAAAGTTTAGGAATAAATCTGCATTTTGTATCATCCTTATTTTTTAATCTAATGAATCAAAGTATTCATTAAAAAAAACATAACCGACCAGCAGAAGTCTTCCAATTATGTCCTCCGTAATTTTGAGTCTGATGGAAAAAAAGTTTCCACCTATCCTATATTTCTGAAACTCTCAGCTAATTTTCCCAACAGAAGATACCAAACGAATATTCACTATTTTACTTATATAGTCCAAACACCTTTCAATGACCGATTTTAGTTTGAAATCTTGCAACACTAGGATCAGGGAAAACAAATCATATGAGAAATACTGAATGAAAAATTGTATTCACACTCAAGTAAAACAAAAATAATACAGCAATTCAAATAGATTCTTACAGAGAAAACAAGCCAACAAAATATATGTTCATATATGCATTAAAACAAAGTTACTCAAAATTTGATCAAAGAACCCGTATTAACTCAAGACGTGATAGAGTTGACTGCGACTAATTCAGAAGGCTCATTAGTAGAAGAAATATATACACGAGAGAAGTATCTGACGCACTAAAGAAGATGTATGGGTTATAATATCTGGAGAGGGTAACTCCAATACAGCAAGAATCCCATTTTTTTTACAGGTTTAAAGGAGACTTCTCCCAAAAAGAAAGGATAGGGATTAAGTAGTTAGGAACCAGAAAGTTACTCAAGTGTTCTCTTCATATAGTTTACATATTGTCTTCATCTGCAAGTACAAACACCTTTATTAGTTTGTAGGATGATTCTTGCTAGAACACTAATGCCCCTAAGCACCTTCCCTAGTGTCTTGAGATGACTTCTGCAGGTACGACATCTGACGTAAGAGCCTTTTATTGGTGCAGTGAGATAATTTTCTTAATTCAGGATGCCTTGCAGATCATACCCAGTACATCTGTATTGCTGCAGCAAAATGAACTACTTAAATTGCTTCTCATTGGGGTGACGTGAAAGCATTGCTGAAAATTTTGGCAAATCTTTTAGAACAAACTTCAAATAACGAATACACAAACCGAGATATAGAATTGTAGTTGAGATTCACATGCATAAGATGCAACAACAAGCCTTTATCCCACTATGTGAGGTCGGCTACATGAATCTTTTTTTCTCCATTGTGTCCTATTAAGGTCAAATTCTCATTTAAATCTAATAAAGAAATGTTGTTTCTAATATTTTATAACAAAGACTTTTTAGGTCTAAATCTACCTTTCTTAACATAAGCCAAATATAATACATCTACTTTTTTAACCGGATCATCGGAAGGCTGTCGATTTATGAGTCAAATTATCATTTAAATCCAATAAAGAAAGGTCATTTCTAATATTTTCTAACCAAGTCTTTTTAGGTCTACCTCTACCATTCTTAACATTAGGGGTGTCAATTCGGGTCAACGGATCGGGTTCGGGTCCAACACGAGTTGATCGAGCATAAATGGGTTGACCTGAACCTGACCCATTTAGCCAAACGAGTCAGGCTTTTTTAACCCGGACCCGACCCACGCGGGTTATCGGGGTGACCCGACCCGACCCGAGGACCCGCAAACGCAATCGCGACTCACGGACGCGTAGCAGCGTTGGGCCTAGCCAGCGTGGATGATGGCGCTGGGCGACTTGGCGAGGTTGATTGGTCGAGGCGGAGCGGCCTGCGTGGCTGCGTTGGGTCGAACCGAGGAACCCTAGCTCGATCAAGGCGATCAGGCGGAGCGGCGGCAGCGGAGCGATGCGAAGCAGCGTAGACGCGACCGCTTGTGTCTCCTGATGGACTCGACAGTGGCACAGCGCTGTCAGGACGCGACGGATCAAATTTTCGGGTCAACCGGGTCGACCCGCGGGTTGTCGGGTCAACCCGAACCCGACCCGTTTTTCAAACGGGTCAAAAATCTGAACCCGAACCCGACCCGTTTCGCAAACGGGTTGACCCGAACCCGGATTTTTTTGGGTCGGGTTTCGGGCCGTGTCAAAAATTAACACCCTTAATTAACATAAGCCAAATCTAACACATCTACTTTCCTAACCAGGTCATCAGAAGACTGCAGTTTTATGTGACCAAACCATCTAAGGCAACTCTCTCTAATCTTATCTTCCACTGGAGCTAGTCCAACCTTTTCACGTATATTCTCATTTCGTATCCTGTCTCTAAGAGTAAAATCACTCATCCACCTGAGCATCCTCATCTCTACAACGTTTAACTTAATATTATGCTTCTCTTTTAATGGACAACATTTTGCACCATAAAACATTGCAAGTCTCATTACCATCTTATAGAATTTTCCCTTAAGTTTGAGGGAGATTTTTCTATCACACAGCAAACTCGATGCATTCCTTCACTTCAACCATCTAACTTGAATTCTACTAATAACATCCCCATCTATTTCACAATCACTCTAAACAATAGACCCAAGATATCTAAAACATGTACTCTTATTGATAACTTGATCGCCCAAAGTCATAAAAAGAGTATAAAATGAATGGGTATAAAAAGATGAATGAGTATAAAAAGAATATAAACGACATTTGAATTACATGCAATGACAAAAACATTATATGTAAAATATCTAAGCCAACTATGCAAACTTTAATAAAGTCTCTCAAACAAGGGACAGACTTGGATCCAGTTCAAGATAAAGGTGAGGTTGACTGAAGCTACCCCTAAATGCTCCCATATTTAAATGCACATAAATGTTCAATGGTAAAATTATTCACTGATCTTTCAATGAAATTTAAAAGAATTATCAAGTAAGAGGGAGTCTGATAGGAAATACTTGAGTTCGCAAGTAACCCTAAGGTAATACTTGAGTTCGCAAGCAACCCTAGTCAAAATCAGCCCAAAACAGTGAGCAAAACTGCTGTCCCAGCAGTTTTACAGCAGCTCCGCAGCAGGAAATGCACCCAAACAGAGAAAAATAAGGAAAAGAAACAAGGTTTCCACTAGTAGATGCAAGAAAACAAAGAAAGATACAATGTCCTTCGATTCGAGAGGAAGAACAACTCTCCTCAAGTCTCTAGCAAACCCTAGAGCCCAAGCACACAATGAGATCTCAAACTTTTCATTCAAATTCAAGATGAGGACCTAATTCCCCCCTTTCCCCCTCTTTAACTCTCATCCCCATACAAAATCCCTAAAAAGCCCTTCTATTCAAATTTCCCCCCCTTTCCATTCAAATTTTCCCTCCAACCCTTGAATTAACTCCATGTGGGGCCCGCCTAGAGTAAGTAAGGACCGGAGGGGCCCGCCTAACAGAGTCCACTCTACACTATTTTAGTGACTCATAATTTGCGTTAAATCACCTCGAGGCCATTAAACTTCAAATTTCCACAAACATATAATATAAATATTAAACTATTTGGGATGTGCTACTTTAGGTCCCTTTAACATACATTAGGGACAAGGCATAACACAAAAAATATAATAAACCACTTTAAAAATTATCTTGTCAACTTTGATTAAATGTTTTACCAAAAAGTTTTAGCTAAGCAACATACTCATTTGTTTCCAAGGTATTGGCCTCGAATTTGAGACCTAGCAAATATGACATGAATGAATTCTCTTACACCTTATATGGGCTTAAAATTTGTAAATAGCCTTTTACCCACCTTTTCTTAAATAAAATATATGAATATATTCCTATTCTTTAAAAAAAATTAAAAATTTTTCTTGACTACTTGGCTTGCTTTCAAAACACACATGCATACAATCAATCTAGCTTGCACAGTACCCTGATAAAGCAGTAAGAGGAAACATAACCTTAGCTCCCCAAGTTCTTTGATTTTAAATTTGCATAAGACCTTCAATGTTGTTTACAATAAATAATCACTTTCAGATCGCCTCATATGTAGGATGAAGTTATAAGACTCAGCATTAGGTTGCCTGCTAATTCAAAGGTAGTAAGTCCACTTCTAGGCATCTTTACAAGCAGAATTGTAAGCCTTAGCCTCCCATCAAATTCTTGTTAAATAACTTAATTCAACGCAAAAACAAAGTCGGGTTGTCTTGCCTATAGAGCAAGGTGGTAAGACCCACTGTCCAGCTTTTCTCAATCCTAGATTATAACTCACACCTATATGCCCCTTCCAATGTTGGCATGGTAAGACTTATACCTAGGGGTACTCTTATACTATAAGTACCTCTCATCGAGCATATCTACTATTAAGAGATATAAGCCATGGCCCCCCAGTTAAAATCAATATGACAATTGATTTGAAATTAATTAATATCTGTGACCATAGACAACTCTTTTGTGGGGTGAGTTTGTAATACCTATCATTGAGATTTTCTAAAATGAAGAGACTATAAATTTGGCTTATAGGCACTTTTAATATCAGAATAATAAGTTATACCTTTATGCAACTCTAAAAAAGAGCAGTAAGCCCCAACTCCCGATTTTTAGGACTCTATAACACGAAGTTCGTCAAGATATTTGATTATATATTTACATAAGCCCTTGAAGGAATTTATACTAAATATTCAAATTCAAGCTAACTTGATTATAGGATGGAATTATAAGACCCGTTAGGCCTTTCTCCAACCGAGAGGTTATAATTCTCATTTGTGTCACAAAGTTAATTCAAACCTTCAAAGATGTACCTGGCTACCTTATTAGGTTTTTTCGGGTTAAAACGAGCATAGACTTCACCATCCTTAGGCAAAGACATAACCCCATAAATCTCATGCACACCCTCGGGTCTAGTTATAACTTCATAAATCCCATCCTCAGATAGAGTCATAACCCCATAAGTCCCACATACATCCTTTCGCTAGGCCATAATCTCATAAGTTTCAATTCCTAAAAAGTTCTATAGCCAAAGCCCTAAACTATGGCTTAATATTAGAACTCATATGCCCAAGTGAATCCTACACTCACAAAAAAAATCACTTTACTTATAATTAAGGCATTGTTTTGAAGTGAGCCAACTTGGACTAACTCAAGATAATCTGCGGACACAACAATAAACCCTCTACCATATGGATGATAACCACCACAATAAGGGATAGACCTTCAAGGATAGACTATAGAGCTTCATGAAAAAGCTTCCCATAATATACAACCTTTAACTTAAATACCTTAGGGTGCATTCCTCTCGAATGAGTCTATCATTATCTCGTAAAACTAAAGAGGCTATGCCAATAACTCTAAGAATGAAACAATTATGCATTGGCATTTTTTATTGCATTTAGGCATGCATCATGCTTCTGAGTCAACTTCAACATGAATTTGTTGAGCCCAATGTATTTGTAACTTCAAAGATTATAACTTTAAACCTCTAAATCATAGTAAGTCATACTAGACCCTCAAGGCTTCTCCGTCCAAGCCAAACTTTGGCCTTCGCCTTAAAAGGATATGCAATTTAGCATATTCCACCTCAATCTACAAAGGATATCAAGTAGAAGGCAATTCATGACTTATAATCAAACTCCCTGGACAACGTAGATTTCTGGCTCTCCATTCTTCATAAGTTAGCCCATTAGAATATTAGATTGACCCAAGATGGAAGTATGGGATCTGGATCAGGTAGACAATCCATCCCCATATATTACCCTCACTTATAAACCTACCTCCAACCACTAATCAAGAGTGTAGTGATATATTTAATCAAAAGTGTTCTCAAACATCATACCAATGATGTAATTAACTATGGGATCCTATGCTCATAGGAAATCTCAATCCCCCAAAATAAATGCAAACCTTGATCAACCTCATCAGCTAGCCAAGGGGAAACTTTGAGACCATATACTAGTATGTCTTGAAAACTTCACACTGCTTAGCGTTTCTTCTCTAGAACTTTAAAAGAACCAAAAGAAAACATATTGCACCATGAGCTCATAAGAGTCTTTCAAAGCCCACATAATTAAACTCTCAGAAGAAACTAAGATAAAAATATACCGAGTGATTACAATTTCTTCAAGAGTACATCTTCATTCTCAAACCTGAACTTGAGATAACAATCTCTTATAAGGTGCACACCTTTGTATTCTGAATTCATTTCTTCATAACTTTCACATTGAGGATCTGCACTCGGGAGGAGCTTACAATTTTTTCAGATGAGACAAAATCATCATAATGATGGATTGTTACTTAAGGTCTAGTTTCAAGCAAGATGTGACTCATCTGATAGCCCAATGTTGCATTTACTAGTTGAGAAAAGATAAGAAACACAACATCGTTATATATACCCCATTTTCTATCTCACACAAACTCAAGAAGATTTGAATATGGACTTCAACCTTGATCGGCCTCGTACGATGCAAAAGTATGACAACCTTTATAGTAGTGGTTAGCTTACCAAAGATCACAGATTGCATCCCCTACTACAAGACCTCTAATGCATCTCACATTCCCTTTCTTACTTTAGTCAAGTTGTGAGATTTCATGATCTATCCAAAATTCTATTTTTTTAATGAGATATTATTGGAAGACTTTATGAAGAAGTTGGAAAACAAACTCCTATTTTCGACCTCCAATGCCATCATACCAATGGTCAGATGTAGATAGTAAATGGAAGTACAAATGACCTTCTAAAATGTTTAGTGAATGACTACATAGTTGATTCGGATCGCATTCTACCTCCTGCCAAGCTTGTCTAAACAATTTGATAATTGACAACTAATTTCTTTTTATATAATTATAGGATATGAGCTTCTTAGGATTATATAGGCTTATATGGCATACCCATTTCATATAGGCTTATACGGCATAAGATTTTCCTTTGAATTGTATCTTATACATTTTTTTTATATTTATTTATTTAAGTAATGAGTTTGCTAGCCTCAAAAAAATGGCTGATTCAATCTCAGTCCTTGACAATCCATGTATATCTTGTGTTCATGTGTTTTGTTTAATGGTTATAAGTTGCCTAGTTATATACATGCAAATCTGATTTTATTTTGTGTTTTGACTATTTGCAAGATTTTCTTAGAGATATATATTATCATTACAAAAAAAAAGTTATAAGTAATTACTAATTAGAAATTAATTTACTATTTTCGGATAAAAATGATTCAATTTCACAGTTGTTTTCGGTATAAACCTCGTTCACCACTAATTAGTAGATTTTAGTTGGACTGAGATTTTGAAAAATATTTCTATAAGTCATTTGTCAGACTTTCATGCACTAAGCTATATATATAGATATGTATAATTGCTTGGTCCAATTGTAGGAAAGATTGTTGACAAGTTTTTGTACTCCTTAAATTGAATTTATTTCTTGTAGTAAAGAACTTGAAATAATTTGTCTTACTACTTGAACCAAAATTCATTTTGAAAGTCTAGCTACAGTTTTGGAATAGATCTTGAACCATTTGGTTTTAACATTATTCAATATCATCAAACATACAGTCGCATATCAATGACATATAATACTCTAAGACCTTCATTGACATTTGCTTTCTTTGAATTATGTGGAATCTATCTAATATTCATCTGGTTACAGGAACAATGCTCTCAATTCACAAGCAACACGAAGAACTATATCAATTCATAAGATAAAAGAAGAACTATGGCAGGTAGTACATTATGAAAGAGTGATCTGCCGATATTGTTAAGAAATCAGATTTACAATTTCACAAAAATTAGTGTTAGTACAAAACTAATATGTCGACAAACAACTCTGTTTCACATTTATGCAATAATCAAAGAGCCAAAACAAGGCCTATATAAATCAGATATTCAGCAGCAAAGCAATATTCCATTTAAAAAAAGTGACATTTTTCAAAAATTAATGCTAGAACTTAGTCAATAAGCTTACCAACAAGTCTGCTTCACAATCATGCAATAATTAAAGAGTCAGGCCCAATCTAAGATTCAACGAACAGCCATTCGATTTTAGCATCAAACTTACCAGGCTTAAAGAAGACGGATAACCCAAAATCTGTAGCCTTAAGTGGGGAACTCTCCTCCTTATTCAAAAACAGAAAGTTCTCTGGCTTCAGATCACGGTGCATCACACCCATGGAATGACAATTGTGCACAACAGTCACAATCTCCCGGCAAAGCGCAGCAGCAGCACGCTCCGAGTAATGCCCCTTAGCAATAATCCGGTCAAAGAGCTCCCCGCCCTCGCAGAGCTCCATAACCAGGTTCACCGAGTGTCGGTCCTCGTAGGCACCGCGGAGCTCGACGATGTTGCGATGACCAGTCAAGTGGTGCATGATCTGGACCTCGCGCCGCACATCCTCGACGTCGTCGCGGTTTGCTAGCTTCCGCGTGGCGATTGACTTGCAGGCGAGGAGTTCACCGGTCTTCTTGCGCGTGACGAGATAGGTCACGCCAAACTGGCCGCGGCCGAGCTCGCGACCGAAGCTGTAGGTTTCGCGGACATCTTCCATCGGCCGACCAAGCACGCGACCGATGCCACCGGTGACGAGAGGAGCAGGAGGAGGAGGCGCCGGGGCCGACGGCCTCGCCGGCGCTGGCGTGTAGGTGGCAGGTTTTACGACTACACCGCCGCCGCCTCCTCCGGCGGCGACCGGAGGATCGGTGTGTGATGAGGGCTGGCCGCTGCAGTTCCCCATGTACAGACGGTTTGTGTCCTTGGGATGAGTAAGAACTGCGAAAGTAAGTCAGCGAGTGGGGAAGTAAGGGCTGGTGACTGGAATTGGATGATCCGGTGTTTTAGATCGAACAGCAAACAGCTTATGAGGTGGACCCCACTGTAGGTCAACGAATGGGCAATGAGGCCGGCATATAAATTTTGCTCCAACTGGAGCTGGGACGAGAAATGCTTCTCGCAAAATATGAAGATCAAATTGGTCAAAATTAAATTAAAATTTTGATTTTTTTTTTCATAATATCTAAATTTTACATATTTTCATAATTAATATATAATTAGCTTTAAGGAGTTTATATTTCTAAACTTTCTCTAGTGTTGACTTCATCACAATTGTATTACTTTGTTAATATAAACTATTTCATCAATTTATTTATTTGTCATATTATTTTTCCCTAAACTAATTTACTTATAAACTAAAAATAAGACATTCTAAATAATACAAAACTTAGTCCAAAATTAATAATATATTACAATAGAAATAACATATTATTTTAATTGTCATGTCAATACATGAAAAGTAGCTTTGTGTGAACTCTTAAGAGAATTTCTTGCCCCTTCCCTTCATGAAATAAAACCAATTGGAAAACTCTTATGCATTGTTTGAAACTTTCATTATACCTTTTTATTTAAAAATTATTTGAAAGAAATATAATGATTTTATTTTGGAAATATATCATCAAATGAAATGCTACAACATTGAGCATTCTTAGTTTATATCTATGGTCAAAATATCTTTAAGTAAATAGAATGTTTTTTCTTTAAATTACATTAATATAAATTTCACAGCTATTTAAATTGCTGGTAGCCTATTCTAAAAATAAATAAATATATTAAATTTTAATTTTAATTTGATCCGGCGTATGTTAATAATGGCTGAGATGGATCTACAAAGACTTAGTAAAAAAAATAAAAATTACTTTTTTTAATTAAATCTTAATAAGAATTTGACTCTTAATAAGACACAATGAAGAAAAATGATTCATATAGCTTACAACACATAGTGGGATAAAAATAAATATTTTCGTATATTTATTATTAAATTATTAATCAAATATTGAAATTTACAAAAAAAAAAGCCAATATTTTTTAGTTTTTATCAAAATTTTAATGATTAGATTATGATGCATATAAATACATTGATTCAATAGTTTATGAATATTAATTATATAAATAAATATATATAATAGATCTTATGTATATAAATTCTCCTGTTTTATAGAAAAATATTAAATCATGTAGAAAAATGACAAAAGGTCTAATCAACACCCATATGATGAAAACTATGTTCATCAAATCCTAATATGAGCCCCATTTGTCCAAATGTGAGTATAGCTCACGCTCAAGAAGCTTTTTTTTTTTTTTTTTTTTTTTTTTTTTTTTTTTTTTTTTGAATTAGAAATTTTTGTGCTAGAAATATGTTTTATAAAGCAGTAAGAAAGATGTTTCAAACAAAACCTAACTCTTAGGCACGACATCGTAGCCCTATGATTATTACGTCCTCTGACCGGACGTGTAGCTACGTTCGGCCGCCAATAACATGTCTCCACGTGCTCTTACTCTTTACCGTGCCGCCCGACGACTTGACCCGGACCGGAACCCGGGAATGCTATGTTCGCGTATTGCGAGGTATTACTCGATATTTGCTCGGTATTGCTCGATATTGATAGGTATTGCTTGGCAATAACAAGAAATACCGCTCTGTGAAGACCAATACCGAGTAATGCTGAGCAATACCTAATTGTACCGAGTTTTTCTAGAAAAACACGGTACAACTCGGTATTGCTCGGTATTTGCTCGGTATTGGTTATTGCCGAGCAAAATCGATCAATACCTAGCAATAACGAGCAATACCTAGCAAAATCGAGAAATACCGAGTCATCCTAGGTCCGTTCCAGGTCGGGTTGTCGGGGCGCGCGGTAAATAGTAAGAACACATGGCACGATTCTACTGGCGGCCAAACGTAGAGCTACGTCCTGTGATCGGACCAAATCAAAGTTCCTATGGTTGAGAGCTTGGGCCTTCACCACAATGTCGACTTTGTATCATGCACTAATTGCTAACTTATATTGTGATATATTCACTCAACATCCAAATGGAAGGAATAATTCTTCATATTTCATGTTGGACTCTTATCCCATACATATCTAGATGTTTAAATATGACATTTTTTAGCGATAAAAAATATCTCATATAAAATATTATTTCACCTAAAAATAAATATTACAGCTACGAATAAGGCAAACCACCTACTTAACTTCTTTCACTAAATTTCCTTATTTCTAAAAGAAATACATTATTTTAGGGGATTTAAAAAAACTTTGGTGTTTGGCACTACAAGGCAATCTCGATCCAAACATAAGTTTTTTTTTATGGAATTACTCATAATACGATGATGAGGCCCAATCGATAGTCTCATTATTCTGTGTGGAGTCTGGATGCAGAGTTACATTTGGATTATGAGTGTACACAATGTTTATACACTATGCACTTTTATTTTTGTACGCAGTGTTTATTTTTCATACTTTTATTTTTGTACACTGTGTTTATTTTTCATCAATTATCAAGTTTTTCTAGGATTGCCAAGGGATTTATCAAATCGGGTTACAGTTTGGGTTCGAACCTGACACCACGCTGCTATTTGACACGGCCTGAAGCGAATTCATTTTCACAGATGGATCAATAACTTCAACACAGACCCAACCCATCTGGTTTCCGGGTTGACCCAACCCTAAACGAAAAACTGACTTCGGGCTGCTTAGGTTGGTTGAATAAGAGTGTCCGCCTACGGCTACTGGGCTGCGAGAGTCTGGACGCTCGACGAAGGACAACTTCGATGTCTCCTCTGGCGGCGACTAAAAGATGCCCTGCGTGAGGGAGGAAAGCAAACCAGAGCTTCTCCTCTGACAGTGTCTGACCTAATCCTCCTAATCAAAAAAAATTGGAAGATGACCTAATTTAGAGGCAAAACCGGCGACCAGAAACATGCCTTAGCCATCAACGGCCTGCGAGCAAAGCAAATCTCCGACCTGAAAGATCCCTAGTCCTCCAACAACCTAAAAGATGCAGCAAAAACCAGGTCATCTACGAATTGCATGCAAAACCAGTTCATCTGCGAGCAAAATTAGGTCAAAACCGAGTTTTCGAGTTGACCCGAACTTAAGCCAAAATTCAAAACAAGTCAAAAAACTAGACCCGAACATGACCTGCTCTTAAGACGGGTTAACCCTAATTTAGGGGTGTCAATTTCGAGTCACAGGTCGGGTTCAGGTTAAACCTAAAATTGACCCGCACTATTCGGGTCAACCCAAACCCGATCCATTTTTGCATTCGGATCCAAACCAGACGCCCCGCTTCAGGTCCGGGTCAACCCGACACGACCCAAATGACCGAGGACCGTGAAAAAATTGCTAGTTTTCATGTCAAAAAATGGGTCAAACTCCACTTTTCGGGTCAAAACAAGTTGAAAACGAATCAATCTCAAATTTCTGAGTAAAAAACGGGTCAATTTTGGGTCACTTTTGGGTCAAAGGGTTAACCTGAACCCGACCCAATTTTTGAAACGAGTCAAATTGTTGAACCCAACCCATTTTGGGTTCAGGTTGACCCTAAACCGAAATTTTCGGATCGGGTTATGTTCAGGTCGTTTCAAATATTGACAACCCTACCCTAACCCGAAAAATTTGGATCGGGTTCGAGTTGAATTTTCCGATCGTCTCAATTTTTGAAACCCCTAAAAAAAAAAGAGAGAAAAATCAATTATAAAGAAAACAGATTTGCGAGATTCAATTTTAAAAAAACATCTATCTAATGAGACGAGAGAGGATCTGATCTACCAAAAAAAAAATGAAACAATAATTGTAATGTACAAAAAAAAAAAAAAACACCCTAAACACATATCAAATACACCTACGCACAAAGAAGAAGAAAAATTCCAAAAATTTCACACCAAGAGCTTTACCTCATATAGCATGCAGATCCAAGACTTGCAGGTGCCAATCCTCAAGAAACCTTAGATCTAAGAGCATACATTAAAAACAAAGAGATCTTTTTTTTTTTGGGCAATTCCTAATAACAAATTTGAGCTTGAGACAGAGAAAGAGAGAGGTCCATGCATCCCTAGGTTTGACTCCCAAAAGCCCAAATGATTCCCAATAATTTAAGAAGGTCTACATTGGAAACCATTTAACCCGAGGCATTCAATGAAGCCAACAAAGGCTAATAAGAAACCTAAAAAGAGAAAAATTTAATGGCAGAAATCGTCAAAAACACTAGATTAGCCTTTTTACTAATTGTCACAAATACATCCATACAACCTGTCAAGCTTATTACATTTAGCATTGATAAGTAATAGAAATACCAACAAGCAAAACGATGTGCTATCCAGTATATATATTTCCACTTCAATTAAATCCCTGAAATTCAGATGGCAAGGCAATGATAGGCAACCATTGAAAAGAATACAGAGCTAAATTCGACAAATCAATGCCACAGAAAATCACTTGGCCAATTTCTATAGAACAGGCAAGTAAAGCCGAAGCCTTGAAGCTGTGGAGCAGTGAAGTAACTGGAATTCTAGGGCTGAACTTTCTAGGGGGGTGGAACAAACAGACAGATATTTCACTTAAACAATAACTAAACAAAAATAGAAGCAAGCAATCAGTTCTTTCAGCGAGTAGTATTCTTTGTGTTGACACTTCAAGGTAGGGCTGTCTGTCAAAATCGGGTCACGGGTTGGGCTCGGGTCCAACCCAAAATTGACCCAACACTATTCGAACCGACCTGAACCTTACCAGTTTTTGCAAACGGATCGATTTTCCGAACCCGAACCCGAACCCGACCCGCTTCGGGTATGTTTTACTAAAATTTTTTTATTTAATTCAATTTATTTAAACCTAAATCAAATTAAGGTCAGATTTATTTTAATCAATTTAAAATAAATCAAGCTTAATTTAATTTTGATGTAGGACGGGAAGGGGGGTATGAATTTGAAATTTCAAGTTAAGTGGGAAAGAGAGAGTAAGGGGTTACCAAAATTAAATCTAATTTAAAATTAAATTAGACTTAATTTTAGGAAATTTCCTAATTTAGCTTGGTTAATTTAGGAAAGTATTTGAAATTCAAATTTGAATTTCAAATTGAATTAAAATTTTCCCAAATCATGTAGGCTAATTTAGGCATGTAATAATGATGATTGAAATCATCATCAAGAGGGCCAAGGAGGTGGGAGGGTATCCACATTCGATGAATGTGTCCAAGTTCAATGAATCATGAACATTGAAATTAATTCCAATTAAATTCATATTGGGAGAGATTTGGGGGGTTTCCAAAAAATGATTAACTAATTAGGAAAATTAATTTAAATCAAATCCAATTAGAAATTTAATTAGATATAACTTAAGTAACTTTCCTAAAATAGGAATCTTTAATTAGGAAACAAATTCAAATTCAAATTTATTTGAATTTTGAATTCGAATTCATTGCCAAATTAAGAGGGCTAAAATAGGAAGGGCTTTGAATGCAAGACGAAATTGGTGGAGCCAAAGGAGGAGAGAGAGGACGTGGGGTGAGGTGGTCTGCCGATTATGGAGATGGAGGGGTTGATGTTTGATTCAAAAGAAAAGTTAACCAAAATCAAACGAAATAAAACAAAACAGAAGGTGAATGGTGGAGACTAGAGATGAGAGGACAGAGAACAAAGAAAAAAAATGATACAAACTATGAGCCCAGACTATTCCTACAGCTGGTGAGTACTACGTTGCCCTCCCCGAGGGACTTCAATCCATGAGTCAGGATCCATCCCGCGGCTGGTGGAAACAAGGTTGTCCTCCCATAGGACTTTTCCTCTCTATAACTCACACTGGGATAACGTAGAGCTACGTCCTGTGACCGGACCAAATCAAAGTTCCTATGGTTGAGAGCTTGGGCCTTCACCACAATGACGACTTTGTATCATGCACTAATTGCTAACTTATATTGTGATATATTCACTCAACATCCAAATGGAAGGAATAATTCTTCATATTTCATGTTGGACTCTTATCCCATACATATCTAGATGTTTAAATATGACATTTTTTAGAGATAAAAAATATCTCATATAAAATATTATTTCACCTAAAAAATAAATATTAAAGCTACGAATAAGGCAAATCACCTACTTAACTTATGTCACTAAATTTCCTTATTTCTAAAAGAAATACATTATTTTAGGGGATTTAAAAAAACTTGGGTGTTTGGCACTACAAGGCAAACTCTATCCAAACACAAGTTTTTTTATGGAACTACTCATAATACGATGACGAGGGCCAATTGATGGCCTCATTATTTTGTGTGGAGTCTGAATGCAGAGTTACGTTTGGATTATGAGTGTACACAATGTTTATACACTATGCACTTTTATTTTTGTACGCAGTGTTTATTTTTCATCTATTATCAAGTTTTTCTAGGATTGCCAAGGGATTTATCAAATCGGGTTACAGTATGGGTTCAAACCCGACATTGACACGCTGCTATTTGACACGACATGAACCAGACCCATTTTCACAGAGGGATCAAAAATTTCAACCCAGACCCAACCATTTGGTTTCCGGGTTGACCAAACCCTAAACGAACAACTGACTTCGGGCTGCTTAGGTTGGCTGAACAGGAGCGTCCGCCTGCGGCTACTGGGCTGCGAGAGTCTGGGCACTCGACGACGGACAATGTCGATGTCTCCTCTGGCGGCGGCTAAAAGATGCCCTGCGTGAGGGAGGATAGCAAATCGGAGCTTCTCCTCTGACAGTGTCTGCCCTAATCCTCCGAGTCAAAAAAACTGGAAGATGCCCTAATCTAAAGGCAAAACCAGCGACCAGAAACATGCCTTAGCCATCTGGTGGCCTGCGAGCAAAGCAAATATCCGACCTGAAAGATCCCTAGTCCTCCAACAACCTGAAAGATGCAGGAAAAATCGGGTCTTCTACAAATTGCATGCAAAACCAGATCATTTGCGAAAAAAATTAGGTCAAAACCGAGTTTTTGAGTTGACTGAAACTTAACCCGAAATTCAAAACAAGTCAAAAAAATTAAACCCGAACATGACCTGTTCTTAAGACGGGTTAACCCTAACCTATGGGTGTCAATTTCGAGTCACGGGTTGAACCCAAAATTGACTCGGCACTATTCGGGTCAACCCAAACCCGACCCGTTTTTGCATTCATATCCAAACCCGATGTCTCGCTTTGGGTCCGGGTCAACCCGACACAACCAGAATGATCGGGGACCGTGAAAAAATTGCTAGTTTTCATATCAAAAAATGGGTCAAGCTCCACTTTTCGGGTCAAAACAGGTTGAAAACGAATCAATCTCAAATTTCTGAGTCAAAAACGGGTCAATGTTGGGTCACTTTCGAGTCAAAGGGTTAACCCGAACCTAACCCAATTTTTGAAACGGGTCAATTTGTTGAACCCGACCCATTTTGGGTTCTGGTTGACCCTAAACCGAAATTTTCGGGTCGGGTTCGAGTTAGATGTTCAAGTCGTTTCAAATATTGACAACCCTACCCTAACTCGAAAAATTCGGATCAGATTCGAGTTGAATCTTTCGGTCGTCGCAATTTTTTAAACCCCTAAAAAAAAAAGAGAAAAAATCAATTACAAAGAAAACAGATTTGCAAGGTTCAATTTTAAAAAAGCATCAATCTAATGAGACGAGAGAGGATCCAATCTACCAAATACACCTAAGCACAAAGAAGAAGAAGAATCCCAAAAATTTCACACCAAGAGCTTACCTCGTATAGCATGCAGATCCAAGACTTGCAGGTGCCAATCCTCAAGAAACCTTTAGATCTAAGAGCATACATTAAAAACAAAGAGATCTTTTTTTTTTTTTTGGGCAATTCCTAATAACAAATTTGAGCTTGAGACAGAGAAAGAGAGAGGTCCATGCATCCCTAGGTTTGACTCCCAAAAGCCCAAATGATTCCCAATAATTTAAAAAGGTCTACATTGGAAACCATTTAACCCGAGGCATTCAATGAAGCCAACAAAGGCTAATAAGAAACCTAAAAAGAGAAAAATCTAATGGCAGAAATCGTCAAAAACACTAGATTAGCCTTTTTACTAATTGTCACAAATACATCCATACAACCTGTCAAGCTTATTACATTTAGCATTGATAAGTAATAGAAATACCAACAAGCAAAACGATGTGCTATCCAGTATATATATTTCCACTTCAATTAAATCCCTGAAATTCAGATGGCAAGGCAATGATAGGCAACCATTGAAAAGAATACAGAGCTAAATTCGACAAATCAATGCCACAGAAAATCACTTGGCCAATTTCTATAGAACAGGCAAGTAAAGCCGAAGCCTTGAAGCTGTGGAGCAGTGAAGTAACTGGAATTCTAGGGCTGAACTTTCTAGGGGGGTGGAACAAACAGACAGATATTTCACTTAAACAATAACTAAACAAAAATAGAAGCAAGCAATCAGTTCTTTCAGCGAGTAGTATTCTTTGTGTTGACACTTCAAGGTAGGGCTGTCTGTCAAAATACAAACAGGTCGAAATCCCTAACCCGAACCTGAAAATTTCAGGTCGGGTTGACGGGTCGGGTCAAATATTGACACCCCTACTTCAATGTAATGTATGAGATGTTCAACAAATAATAAGAAAAAGTAATACTGCAGATCACTCAATCAAATACTTATTTCATGAAACTTGCAAAGCAAGGCTAAATCATCAAATTTATTAGAATCTGTAAGTATTACATCCAGTCTTGAAATAAATTTCTTACTCTTAAACAACATAAAGGGAGAGCATATGCCATATGACAGCAGAAAGGGGGGGTATATGCATGCGGTCTGAGAGTATTAGGTGAGAAAAAAACTAAGCAATAACTGATGCATTCTCAACATAATTTTTTCCCAATTCAGCATACTCTTGACCTATTTCCCAAGTTATAGCAACAGAAGTAACAAAACCTTAAGGAGTCGATTCCTTTAGATCTGAAGGATAATAATCAAACTCTAAATCCTTGGAGCTGCAAAAAATTGGGTAGAAAGAATATTCATGTCAGCCATCAATAAACTCAAATGGGATTTGTTTTGAAGAGACATGGGATAAAAAGAATATTAACTCTTTTTTTTAAAAGCAAATCATACAAATATGAAGAAATGGGACTTAAAAAGCATATATATAGACACAAATACATAAGGAATTGCCTGCTCACCTCCACCAATAGTTGCTTCTGGCATGCGTTCAATAGAGTATTTGTGCTGAGTAATGTACATGATGGGAACGCCAGGAATCTAACCAAGTAAATAGCATGTTTTTAATACATAATTCAAGGGTTTTAGAAGATATTCCACCATTTATTCTTTATTTACCTTGCGTATTCTTCGTTTCAAATCTCTATCACATGTAGCAACAATATAGCACTTATGCTGTAGAAAAAAAAAACCAGGAAACTCCCAGATTAAATCATGGTAGGAATAAAAAAAACAGAAAAAAAAAATGGAGTGACAAAGAAAGATAAATTAGCATAGATAGCATGCCAAAACGTAAAGCAGGGCAGTCAAAGCAAAACCATTAATCATCTATGATAACAGTACCAAACGCGATTTGCTGCTTAGGCTTTGTTTGGGACGGCTTTTTTATTGCTTTTTAAAATGGAGTTTTAGTAAAAATAAAACTCATTTTAAGAAGCAATAAAAAAGCCGTCCCAAACGAAACCTTAAATTGATGTGTGCTTCTAGTGAGTCATTTAGAAATGAATATTATTGAAAAATAATCATAGCAAATGTGCAACAAGATGAATTGTAGCAGAACGTCAGCAATAAGAAAGAAAACAACTAAGAGGAAAACTGCATGGATGAGTTTCATTGGCACAAAAATGCCAGTTACTAGTTGTACTGCCCGAAAGATGTTAGTATAGAAAAGGGAAAAAGCCAACAAAAACTACCTGAGTAACTCTCTCAACTATGCAGTCATCAGCATATGTTCCTTTGTGTGTGCATGGAAGCCTCTCAAAACGAGGATCTTTGGCAATCCTATAAGAAAAAAACAGTTCAAAAACCAGTTATAACCTGTGATTTTTCATTGCAACTTATTTTTGCAAATCCCTGGTAAGCGGGCCAACAATATTCAATAGCCAGATAAAAATAATTACCTTAAAGCCACACGATATTTCTGTCCCAGCTTTTCAAGTTCAGCCATAACGCAATCCGTGATACAAGGAGTGCCTTAATAATTAGGAAAAGTTAAAAGAGAGCCCAACAATTCAGAAACCGTATTAATACAAACCAATCAAAGATTCTTTTTTTTTTTTTTTGGCTTTGCAATACATTTATCTGAGGTTAATCTTCCAACTTACATTTTGCATAAAGGCAGTCCATCATTCCCTTCTCCAAATCCAACTTCAAAATAGTTAAAAGAGTTAAGTCAGTCAAGCAATGAAGCATCAATTAACATACAGCAAGAAAGATAGTAACATTTACATTACTACATTTCTTTTCTAACATAAAGCATTAGATAGTACAACTACAAGCCTTTAGCAGTAGTATTTGTAATGAAAACAGCATACCTTATACATGATACTGAATCTATTAAGTTTATTTTTACACTACCTCATTTTCAATAGATGATGCTTCAGCCATTTCTAGTATAAACATTTCTAACTCATCTAAACAAATTTCTTTCGTAATTCTCATTCAATAATTTTACAAAACAATATTATAATATTTCCTTGATGTATTCGTCCTAAATTATGATCATGTTAAATTCGATATTAATAAACATAATTTAATCAAGGTCAATAGATCTATATTATTTGGCCTTAGCTATTTTATATATCTAATTTTCTCCCTCCAATGATACCAAATCTACCACAAAAAACAAAAAATGATGATAACCATCACTTTACTAACTACTCTATCTGTAAAATATCTAGTTTCCTCATAATTATTGTATGTTTCAGCAGTCAACATATTTAGTTAAATAATTCTTTAAAAGCATACTTCTTTTCTTCGATAACCTTTTCTAAGACAAGCAAGTGCAGCTTGTCTATAGCATGCAGCATGCGGATGCATATTGATAGCATTTTGTAAGACCTATTGTATGTCGCAACAGCCAACATATATAGGACGTAGATGCAATACAAACTTTGCTAAAAATATTTGTCTTTTTTTTCCTAAACGAAAAATTATCTATCATACCATAGCCCACTTTGGAAAGCACAAACTGTTCTTCTCATTTCTTAAAGTCGTTGTTTGGGATTGCAAAACAACAAGCATGCTATTGTAAAATTAACCACAGCTTCTCTTATCACATGTTTATCTTCTATAACATACTATAAATACCCCCATAATTATCCTCTCTTCCTAGCATACACTTTACATTAATTGAATTAAATAAAAAAAATCAGATTCTCTTCTCAACCTAAGTAGCATAAACACCAAGTACATCTATAATATGCTTGCAATAATCAACATAATAGCTATCATCGTGACATTAACCATACAACAACAACAACAACAACATCATCAAGCCTTCATCCCACTATGTGGGATCGGCTACATGAATCTTTTTCTCCATTGTGTCATGTTAAAAGTTAAATTCTCATTTAAATCTAATAAAGAATGTCATTTCTAAAATTTTCTAACTAAGTCATTTTATGTCTACCGCAACCTTTTTTAGCATAATTCAAATCTAATACAACAACATCATGACACTAACCATATTCATCTAAAAAAGTTTACCATATAACTTTTTATCCATTGTTCTCCATTCTCATTGTTAATCTTCTTAGCATACAACAGATTCGAAACTTGCCAAAGTCCTTGAAATTATCCCCTTTCCACTTTTTTCCTGTAAACATGCTATATTTGTCCATTTAAGATAATATGTCCATTAATCCTCTATCATTCGCGTTCAATGTTCCTAAATTCAAGGGCAATGGCATAGATTTTTAAGGGTGTTGTAAACTTAACACCAACGTCAACCTTTCTTGTCCAAGTTTGTGGGCAATGTTGGTTGCATACACACACACACAAATAATATGCATATATTCAGATAAAAATAGCACAAAACATATGTCATTGCATAAATAAAAATTTATAAATATACGACTAATAGATATACACATAAAAATGCATATGTAAGAACATGTATACATGTATGGATAATTGGAATGATGTATGGATGCAGACATGCATATGAACATTAAAGTTTTTAAAAAAGTAAGAAAGGGAAATAATAAATTGGAATAGGTATTAGAGCATTGTTCGTCCTTTCAACCACCATGTTTGTCCTTTCTACCTGAACTTCCTATAAGTGTACTTAGGCTGATCAAACTATCAGCTTGCAAATCAAGGATGTTCATTTTAAAGGGTTCAGCAAACTTCCCAAAAAAAGAATGGCTCTAAAGACTAATACAAGTTTTGGCAGGAAGACAGATGAATCCTACAAAATAGAATACAAGCAAAAAAAATTTAAGAGAATGTCCAGACATACATGACCATGCATACAAATGTTGTCATGCCCTCAAGTCAATTATCGTACTTCAAAGTTGATGTCCGATGTCCAATTGACGTCCATGTTCCATGCACTCTAACAACAAGAAAATCTGAACCTTCTATTTGGATCCACTTTGCAATATTTTTTAAAATTTAATCATTAGCAATCCATGAAATCGCATTAAAAAAATAAAGAAAATCAATTTTAGCGTCCGACTTCTCCCATTCCCCATCTTTCCTTACCCCCATTTCACAAGAAAGCAATGTCCTTCATTATGCAATGCATGACAGAACAAAAAACATACTATTATAATAATATTTGATTGATTAAATGTTATATAAATTTTCAAATAACATTTTTTAATTCGCTCATTAAAGGATTGTTTGGTTGCCTAAAAAAGGAATGCATAGTGAAAGGAAAGCAATGTAAAAAGAATGTGGTGTAAAAGGAACACTTTGGAGTTGTTTGGATGAGTGTAAAATGAATGCATGACTTTTTTTTTTTTGAAGTAAAGCAAATACATTAAGTGTAAAAAGATTGTGCCCGAGGTTGTCGACGGTGGTCGGCATTCGAGGGCAATGAGGTGGCAACAGTGTTGGTCGGCGACGACAGAGGCTATGGGCAGCGATGGCTGCCAGCGATTGTGGCGGCTAGTGGTGGCAGCGAGCATTGGCGAAAGCGACCGATGGTGTGGTCGATGGTGGGCGGTGGGCGGTGGTTGTGGGGCGGCAGTGGGCGGTGGTGGTGGGGGAAGCAGTGGGCAGCCGTGGCCGATGGCTGGTGGCCGAAGATGGACTATGGCGACGACAACCAAAAGCTAGTTGGTGATGAAGACGATGGTTGTCGGCTGTCGCAGCAAGCTTTGGAGTGGTGTAAACGGTTCAGACTCAAAATTGGATGAGAATGGTTTACCTCAAAAATAAACTAAAATGGAATACACTACATTCACTTTACTTTACATTGGATTTATTTTTCATCCAATCAAACACCAAATTTTTCAAAACTACATTTACTTTACTTCCAACCAAATAGCCTTAACTGTATTGGGCTATTTAGAAGAATAAAATTTATGAACCATTATGTTATTTTGACAAATGTGACAAATTAACATTGTTAATTTTATAATAAATTTTAAAAAAAGATTTCATTTTTGGAATGCTTACAATAAAATTTTAAAGTTTACATTGTTTCAAACTAAATCAATAATTAAACTAACATCTTATTTAATCTTAAGTATATTTAAAATAAGTTTTAAGATTGGTTTAAACCTTGGAAAAATAAGTAGAAAGAAAGTTCATCTCAATTTAATTACATATATTAGTTAATGATAGAATAGGTTAGTAATAAGAGCACGTGATATATACATTATACGATCTCAAAAAGCGTCATTTGAAATCACACTTTCAGCTCATGTTAGACTTTAATGATGGAAGACATTGTCTCTCTTTCTCCATTAAATATTTGAATTAGGTTTAGAAATGGTTAAAACCTTTTAACAATTAAGAAAGAAACAGTTATTATCAAATTGATATTTCATAATCAGAAGAGTACATCATATGTAGATTATATTGGATAATAAAATTTACTTTATAAATGTATCTTTAACTATCTTTTGATGGTAACTTCTAAATAAAAAAAATAGATTCCCCTTCCAATAAAAGAGTTATAAAAACCTTCATTTTGAAATGAAGTTATATCTTTGTTTGAGGATTTTAAGTATTCTCGCATTGAAGCTTGATAAATAGTATATAGTTAATATTGTTTGATCTCTCCTTAAAATCCCTGCTGAACAACTATTACATAGAAATCAATCAAATATAAGTTAAGAACATACTAGTAGAACACAAATAGACACTCAAATTAAATCATAAATTAAACCAAATATAAAGCTTTTCCTATAGACATAGAAATAACTATAGAAACACTTTTCAATATTTAATTCAGAGCTAATTTGATAAAATTAGGCATCATCATCAGCATATCTTTCATTCATGTATTTATCATGATTAATGACATATTGCAGAAGCTATTACTAAAATAAAAGGCGAAATTCCAATTTAAATCATTAATCATCTTCTGATAGCATACCAATGAATAAAAATATGGAAGTTCAAAAAAGACCACAAAAAAAACTAATATCACATACAATGTTATTACTATGATGGTCAAGCAATTATCTACCCAAATCATTCTAGCATTTACCCAACCTATAAGAAAAAATACATCATGACCTCTTGTCTAGTCTACTTATTTTAGCAAACTACAGTCCTAATTCCATCCAGCAAATACAGCATGAAAAAAGTAGCTCAAATAAAAAAAACATATTATAAAGATATAATCATATAACATAAACTAGAAAGAATACGAAAGGTAAAACTTCTATCACCTTGTTTTGGATAGAGAAGTTGATAAAGTTAGTATCCACTATCACAAGATAAGGTGGTCCAAGTGCCGTATTATGCTTAAAGAAGAGAGCAGAAGAAATGCTTGGCCTGTAAACCAATAAAAAAGCCATCAAATTGAGTGGACAGTGATGTGGAAGGTTAATAGAGAAGAGGCAGGGCCTACACATTACGAGGGAGCTTTTCCTTGGAGATATCCTTCTTTAGAGGGTTTAAAACTTCTTCTTTGTGCCTGGAAGAATGCAGAAATTCAGACTGAATGAATTACTAAAAAAGAAGAAAGCATATGAGAAAGAAATGGAGATTTTCTTACTTGCGGAGCATTTTAGAGCTAATCAGCTTCTTCACTACGGCGAATTTGGGGCCTTTCTTCGCCTTCCCCATCTTTGTTGTCCTACAAACTCTAAGGGGCTGTTTGGCAACAGGATTTTAGCAGGATTTATGCTAAATCCAGCAAAAGCGCCCCGTAAATCTCACGACCGAAAAAAATAAAAAATCCTCCGTTTCCCTCTTTTTGCCGTAAATCCCGGTTTTAATAAATCCTGTAGTTCGGCGGATTTACGGAATTTGGCCGAAGAAGCGCGCGAAAGAGAGAAAGTTACCTTCACAGCGAGCGAGCTCCCGTAGTTGCTTCCAATCAAAATGTTGTAACGTCCGATCCGAAAGGAAGGGAACGTCGCCGAAGGAGCGAAGTCGAACAGCAACGAAGTAGCCGAAGAAGCCACTCGTGCAATTTCTACACCACCTGCGGAGCAACGAATGAAAAGCAAACCCTAGACGACTTAATATAATTTAAAATATTAATAAATAAGTAAATTAATTAAATAACTAATAGTACAATTAGTTCATAAACTAAATTAACAACTAAAAAAGTAAGTTGATAATTAGTACTATAATTAATAATTAAATTATTAGTTAAATTATTTGATAATCAAACTAGTTTCTAATTATATTATTTATTATTATAATTTATTGATGATAATTAAAATTGAATTTAATGAGTAACTCTTATTTAATACATAAATTAAATGAAAAATATAATAAATTTAATTTTTAAGTAAACTAAACAAATAAAATCCTAGATTATATTGTCAAACAATTTCACAAGATTTAACATAATCTATCACTTAACTTGCCAAACAATTTTCAGGATTTCATAGATTGTTATAATGCCAAAATTTGAAACAATTTCAAGCACCACATTGAGATTTTCGTGAGTCATTATAAGTCCAAATAATAAGTTTGTTAAATTTCACCACTTAGTTGAATAAATTTAAAATCAATATGAATTTAAATTCAATATATACCTATAATAAAATGAAAGGCTTGTTGTTGTATATACCTACAATAAAATAATTTTATTTTAAAAGATGGATAAATACAAAGAAAATCAACTTGATTTATGTCCACAACCAAGCAAATTAATTTGAGAGGCATTAGATTCCTCACAGGTTTAAAAACACGTTTTAAAAATGATAAATTTAACCATAATTAATAAATGTGGTTCAAAATAATTAAAATTTTGCAAGCACTTCAAACTCTATAAATCCCACATATTTATAATTTCAAACAACAAAATAAATAAAAGTAAGATATTCCAACTCGAAATAACTAGATGATTGTTCCAAAGTTTTTTTTTTTTTTTGGGTGGGGGCATACCTTACATGTGTCACCTGGCCAAGTTTACCTATTCTTCACCAAAATCTAGTTCATTTTTAGCAAGTCACTTCGGAGTAACATCCTAGCAAATTCTTGGATATTAGAACAAAAAGAACTAAGGACTCAGAATGCAAAGCATGTCAAGATTACCTAGGCAACAAAATCATCTAAAAAGATGAGCAAAAGGCCCCTAGTTCCCAGAGGCGACCATCCAAGGGGAAGCAAAGTTAAACTTGCATTCATCATGGTTGTGATGCCCCATGATCTAATTTGGAAGAATTATTATTTTAATCTTTTAATAACCAACAACCATAGCAATCTAATATCATCTATCAGTAATAAACAACAAAAAAAAAATTATAATTTAAAACATCAATGTGCACATCTATATTTATTCCCAAAAATCATATACATAACTCAGGACTATAACAAAAAGAAACATAACCTAAAGAATCCTAGCCAGCCTCACACTTTTGCTCCCATGTCATGACCTAAAATCATTTTAAAAGTCCTTCAAAACCAGTCCTTGGTTGCCAAAAAAGATCGTCCAAGAAGCCAAAAATCGTCCAAAGATCACAAATTAAGCCTCCAGCCTGTTAGAACCCGACAACAAAAGTAGGATCGAGAGAGCAAGCACAACCATCCAAAAAGGTCAAAGAAGCAGACGTTGAAAATTTTGATAGTTTTTCCATTTATAGAATTTACAAGAGATAGACCTCCTGATTTTGGCAGCAATTGTAGCATGACAGTCAAAAGAGTTGCCATATAATTGGTCATTCCTAGATCTCCAAATGTAGTAAATTATAGCACACAACAAAAGGAAGTAGAAGCTTCTCCAGTTCTTATCAATATTCCAATCTTCAATATTATTAAAAACTTGCAAAAGGTTGGGGCATAAAAGCACATTGCCCATTTGAGGAATAAGGTTTTTAGCATAAGTATAGTTGCATTCAAAGAGAATGTGTGCTTGATTTTTTAAAGCATTTAATAAGAAAGCATAAGTATGGGAAGCAGGAATTCCCCTCAAGATCAATGCATCTACAGTTTTCAGCCCATTTTTGAAAGCCAACCAAGTATAAGCTGAGAAATGCAATGTGTAACGTTTATGCCACACAAATTTGTCCCAATTCACAGTAGATTATTCAAAATAGAATTGCATTTTTGAAGGTGTTAAAGATAGGCTTATCAGAATTAAGCCACTAGAAAGTCATACCCATATAAAAGATAGGAACAATAGAGATAGTAGATATGAGGGTTGCATGGAGATTAGGAGGGAGGCACTATTTACCATTTCAAAAGAAATTTGCTCATAAGTAAATGAGAGAAATTTAAGATAGAGCTCTCCAGCTATCCAATCTCAAGCTTTTCCACAACATAAAGTGTCAAAGCACCATGGATCCCAAAGCAGGGAAAGAGTGTTGTTGTCAATGATATTAAAAATAAGGCAGTGTTGGATTTTCTTAGCCACAACACAGAGAAATTTCCAATAATCATAAATGTCACGACCCGGCCCGATAAGCTCGCATACGCGAACAGTAGAAAATAAAAACAATCGTATTTCATAAACAAAACATCTCTAAATATATAAAAAGAGCCACTAAAATATTTCAAGTAAAATGTTTTCTTTCTTTACATCTATCATTAAATATCAATCTAAACATAGAAGTTCAAAACATAAAAGAATATCCATAAATCTTCTCTTACAAATCATCTTGAATCCTTCTAACTCAAAATGTCAAAAACAAAAAGAAGGAACATGTCACCCGTTGTCTCCCTACAATGGTACGTAAAGGGTGATCTATCTATCATTTTTGCTTAACATGTTCTCCTAAAAAATATTCTATAAGTTGGGTGAGTTATAATATAGTAGATAAAATGTCATTCAATTAAATTTAGAGGCAATGAAAGAAGTACAACATGCATATACTTCTAAGTAAATAAACATTCAACATGACATAATATATTATGTAAAGTGAAAATGTCTCTAAGTCAATCTTTATGTTCTCTTTCTTTGCATGAGCTTGCAATCCTTTCTCATTAAGCATTCGTGACTCAATTGATGTCTCATAAACATATAACATAATGACATGATATTATAATAACATAATATTAATCACCAATCACGAAAGTATTATTTGTACTAATCAAGTACATTTTTAATTGACCATTCCTTTACCATTTGATTTTAAAGAACATCTTTACCATTTGGCTCAAAAGAGAACCTTTATCATTAGCTCAAAAGAGCTCATTTACCATTGATACTCTGCATCAAACATGCACATGTAAACATTCCTTATTTATTCATAAAAGAGACTTTAGAATGCCATTCATGTGTATGTTCTCATATGATGTTACTGTTGACCTTGATTTTCGCTCGAATATTCTCGAGCACCTTCGATTGATTCGATTGAACCTCGTCGAGCCCAAGTTGAACTTGAATCGATTCGAATTAATGTTAATTTGACTCGACCCTATTCATTCAAGCCCGAGTCGTTTGTTTTGACCGCGATGAGCTTGATTTGATCCAAATCGATTTCAATTTGAGTTCAATCTGATTTGATTTAATCGATCGAACCTAGCCTGAATCTAAATAGAGCCAATTTGAATCAAATCCATATCCAAACCTAGCTAAAATCAGCCCAAATTAATCCTAAATAAATTTCCAATCTACTTTTTGACTTCATTTGAATCAATTCCTAAATCGAGAAGTGGGATCAACGGCTCTAATCACCCCGAATCTTAATCCTGCCGTTACTGCGGTGCTCGGGTGCGTGATATGCTCATTTTAGGAAGAATACAGTCGTCGATCGATGGAGAGCAGCGATACAGAGCACAGTTCAGTGTTTGGAAGTGGGATCGAGAGAATGAAACAACGGTATCATCTCTAAGCTCGCGATTCTCCAAGGCATGAACGACCGCTCCCTCTCTCTCCAGGCTTAGGACCAGAGAAGGCCGAACCCTTCTCTCGTCTTCCTTTTTTTTTTTCGCAAGGATTCCTAGCTCCCTCTCACACCGGCGTCTCCCTCTCCCTCTCTCGCATGAGCCAAGGGAGACCGAACCCAACGGCCGCCCGATCTCCCTCCGCTGAGCCCACGCCGCCTAGACCGACCCCGATCCCCCAACACCTCTCTTTCTCGCGCGAGCCAGCCAAGCCCGATAGCCCAGGCTTTGTCTCCCTCGTCTTGGCCGACCGATCTACTTCACCCCGACAACACGAAGGAGCCCGAAGCCTCTCGTTCCCTCTCCCCCTCTCGCGTGAGCCAAGGAAGACCGGACCCGAAGCACGTCCGATCTCCAGGTTCAAACCCGACGCCAGCTTCTCCCATTCTATATGCAAATTCTAGTGAAGCGACAACTGCAGAGAATCGGCCCGAACCTGCTCGCTTTAATCGAACTCAGGTATCTCTATCCCTCTTTTTCTTCCACCTTCTGGACTCTTCTTGGCATCTTTCCTCAAATCTTCTGGTCCCCTTTTAAAACACGGTTCAGATCTTCTTTGTATGGATATGAATATGTGCTGCTTTGCTTTTGATAGTCCTCAATCAGCCATTACCTTTAAAAAAAAAATCTTGAAAATATGGTTGAGAGATTTGTCTTGCTTTGTGTTCACAAAGTCCCGATGCTTTTCTTGGGTTGATGGAGCTTGGATTTTCTTTTTTTTTAAAGATGCATCAATGAAAAATATTTATGATTCTAATTCACCCGACCTTATTGATTTATTCTCCTCCCATTTACCTGTATAAATCATCTCATGGGCCTTCGTTCGTTAACGTCACATGCTTCTATTGTTTCTAATGAATGAAGTGTGTTAAATTTATCACCATTCAGAATTTGTATCAATAGGAAGATAAATTATTATTATTTTTTTTACAGAATTTTGTTTCTGTTTGTTTTGAGCTGGCGTACCCATGTAACCAAAATTTTAATGGGCACAGCATGAGTTATGTTTAATTTCTTTGGCACTTATTCAAATTAATCAAGTATGCTCGTGAGGCTTATTTCATTACATGGTTGGAGTGTAATCGTGGAAATCCGATGTCATTATTGATCTATCCATCTAGCTTTGCATTTGTGTGTATCAACTATTCGATGAAATATTTCAAAAAAAAA